TTCCATGTTTTCACTTTTAAAAGATAATTTTAGAATTAATTTCAGAAAATCTTTATATACCTTGAAGTTCTTAGTTTTAATTGGATAATGATATATTTAGATAATAATATTAGTTGTATAATATAATTAGGTAATAATATTAATTAATCTTTTAATTCTGTATTTTGCTATTACTTCAAATTTTATCATGACCCGAATTTAGATTACGTAATTGATCGGACTTGTGCAAAAGTGATCATCCTTTCACTTTTCCCTCAAACTTAAACTTCGTTCTCGTATGTTGTTATTCATAGCATTTTAATAGTCTTTAATTAAACTCAATGTGTAATTTTGCTCGATATATGATTACTGTTGTATCTTAATGCTTGCAGTAATCAGTATTGTAATAGTATTTGTAGCCTTACATGCAAATAATAGCCATTACAAACATTTCCGTTACAAACGTTATCGAGATAATGATCATCTGTCATTCGACATTGCTTGCAAGACAATAAAAACGGGAATTGTATGGAATGCAGTAACTTATTTTTTTATATATCGTCACATTAAGGAAAATGATACTTACATTAACTTATTTTATATATATGTATATACGTATATTATAATAAAAATTTATATATTATTATATCAAAAACCAATCATACACGTTTATATATTTTTTATAATTTATTTATAAAAGACATTTACAACTATTAAAATTTCATTATTTTTTTACAAAGAAATTATATAATTTTTTTCTAATCTTGTTTAGCACCAAAATGAATGAACATTTCGCATATGTGTCGCATATGTGTCGCATATGCATTAAACAATGCATTGTTTCCACAGCACGCTTCCTTTGTAGCATACTTGTGTATTTTGCGTAAACATTTCCACATGTGCGTGACTTTTTTATTATTCACAACGAACGTGGCGATACAATTCATCGGTCCATCTGTCGGCGTGTCTCTATTATTAGTCATTAACCGCATAGTTCATCTTTAATACGCGGAAATTTGCATAATTAGCCATTAAGTTATTTAAACATCGCGAAGGACGTCGACTAGTGCGCGTCGCCACGAGGACGCTTTCACGACAAGTGGTCGTTCTTCGCCTATGCCCCATGCAATTCTAGCGAAGCGACGATTCACTTCGGCCGACCTTGCGCACAGTTTCTAGCCACTTCATCGTCGCTATAGATTATACCTCAGGTAATTGCGGATTTGCATCGGTAATTGCAGATTTTACCTATGAATCGCAAGCTCGCTTAAAGAAAAAGGTACAAAAGAAGAAAGAAATAATAATAATTAACGTCCATGCGAGTCACGCGAGATGAATCCAGACGAGTGAGAGTGGCGCAATTCTAATGCGATTCAGTAGGCAGATCGTATTAGATAGGAACACCGTTTCCCGAGTGAGCTACATAGTGCATCACTCGTATACGATACGCGGACGCGTCATTATCAATTTCCGGTCCTCGCGTTCTCCCGCGAGACTTCGCTCGCGCAGCATTTATGGATTAATCGAGCTGTAATTGAGCTGTAACAAATTGCTTCCGTGGATCCTCGATTGCGTAAATTTTCGTTCTGCTCGGAGTTGGTCTATAGATTTTCGATCGAAAATATTATCAAGATTCCCGAATTATTGTTCACGAACGTTTGGAGTAAATGTATCGAATCACTTTACGCTATTTATTTTTTGAAATATTATCCGTTTATGTATCTGTAAAAACTTGTATTTTACTTGTAATTTACTTATTCATTTTTCTTATTATAGTATTGATGTTTAAAATAATTTTTTTAAATTTACAGGCAGTCGGCCTAAAGGCTGTAGTGGAACTGAAAGCTCTCGATGAGAATGGTATGCCAGTGGACGGACCCCGAGGGATGCTGACGCTGGAGCAGCAGCCCGAGGGGGTCAGGGTCACGGGCACAATCACGGGATTACAACCGGGCTTACACGGATTCCACGTGCATGAGAAAGGGGATTTGAGAAAAGGTTGCAATTCGGCTGGCCCGCATTTCAATCCGTACATGGTAACGACGACATTGCAATTCTAAATTATGCGCATCGCAATCAGTAACGGAATATCGTCTCGTGAATAAATATTCCTCTTTCGTCGTATAAAATATAACGGTACAATTTTCATTCGTTACAATGTAGTTCATTTTCTTTCTCTCTTGTGTGTGAATTATTCCAAAATTATAAATTTAAAAGTATGGCAGAGATTTTCGTTGATAAGGTAGACAATGAAATTTTGCAAAATTCCCAGCAAAATGTTTCCAGTGTGTGGGATCATGAAAAATTCATTCGGACGTTTTTCAGCTACCGCTTTCACAAAAATCCAAATTAACAAAGGTCTACATTTTCAAATAAACATTTCAACATACAGCTTTCTAGCTTGTGAAAAAAACACTGATTCGGAAGTCGAAAAAGTTCAGATTCTTTTGAGTTCCGAAGAAAACTCGAATTATCGTTGTTGGCATCATACTTATCGAATATAAATGCGACGTGATAATCTCGTGAGAAATAATAGTCTCGCGCCTCGATTGAGCCGTCGCGATTTCTTTCGATAACGTGTTCCCTCTCCGTTCTCCGTTACTCTCCGATAAATGAAGAGTAATTACGTTTCAGGTGAATCACGGCGCACCGAGTGATCCATTACGTCACGTCGGCGATCTCGGCAATATTCAGGTCGGCCAGGAAGGAGTGGCAAATATCGATGGCATAGATCACTATTTGAGCCTGGTGGGTGTCCGTGGTGCGATCGGCAGGACCCTGGTGGTCCACGCGAAACCCGACGATCTCGGCCGTGGCGGAACCGAGGAGAGTCTGAAGACTGGATCTGCGGGTGAACGCATTGCCTGCGGCGTCATCGGGTTCTTGTAAAGGAATTTTGACGAACGGCGAATTTGGTTATTGCATGCACTAAATGCGCAGCAAAGGCTGCCATGCTCAAGCTCGCATAAGAAAATATCGTGGAGTATATAAGCAAACTTTAATGAAGATACATTCCTTGCTGAAGATCAAAAGAATTTCTTTTCTATGAAAACTCAATCAAAATATCGCTATAACTTTTTATAGTTTTGTACATTTTTAAATAAAATACTTTGATAAAGTACCTTAATATTCCGAGATCTCAGGAATCTTCGTTAAAATACATAAAAAGAAATAACTACTATGAAAATATTATATTTTATTTATGTGTTATTAATAAAGATAACATTAGAAGCTACATTTTAAAACTGAATATGTGAAATAATATATAATCAACATAAATATTGTGTTTAAATAACATAATTGTTATAATATAATTAATTTTATTTAATTAAAATAATTATATCTCAACATTTATAGATAAATTTGTATACAACAGCCTGTAGATTGTGCGCACTAGTGCATTCACCCACATTCGCTAAAAGAGATGTTGCGTATCGCAACTTCATTCACTACTAATTTAATTATGTCCATTTGTACCGATCAATAATCACGGATGTAATCCAGTACTTATCAAATGCATTTTATGTATGCTCTTATTTAATCCATCTCTTTGATTAGTAGAACATATACATAATAAGATAAACAATTAAATTTAAATAAAATAACCAATTAATCTTTTTTTCTTTGCTTCATGCATTTAATGCTAAAATGATATAATAAATTAATTAATAATTACATTGTGTATATAACAATAAATAATCATACTAGTATTTGTGATAATAATTTTTATGTGTGTAAAAGCCTTTTAAATATTCTACACAAATATCATGGAATTTTTTTCTATGACAAAATTTAGTTCACAAAAATGAAATAGTTTGCTATATCAATATATGGTCGATCAAGAATTTAACGAAATTTCAATATAAAGAATTCAACTCGGGAATTGGACTGAGTTGAATTTTGTCGTAACAAAATTTTATTGTAATAGCTTTCGTCGTCGATACATTTTACGATAAAATAAATACGGCAGTGTATGACACACACACACACACACACACACACACACACACACACACACACACACACACACACACACACACACACACATACTATATATAT